TGAGGGTATAAGTGTGGAGTGTGTTTGCAATATCTTTTTCACTCATGCTCACCCACCCACCCACACCGACCTTCCAGTTGGAAAAAGCCTAATAATTTTGCCAAGAATAAATATGAAACAAAACCTGCTGCGATCATATAAAATAGGGTCTGGGTGTGGGTACAATATCTTTTTCACCCATACTCACATATCCACCCACACCCCAAATAAAACATTCAAAAGACTTCCAATAACTAGTACCTCAGTCAACTGAGAGTAGAGGAATTTTAGCATAATATTAAAACCTGTATCACCGCCACTGGGATATTTTCTGCGTCTACCTTGTGCTTTTTTCTTCGTACATTCGTACATATGTGTACATGATTGGTATAGCTGTGATAAGAAGAATGAAACGCTTCAATAACTACGCATTAATACACTCGTATGTATGTTCTATTTGTTAATATGGGGAAATTTCCAGGAATATTTGATTTCTCTTGCCTATATCGATTTACTCACCGCCACAATTTTTGTCTTCTAAAGACGAAAAAACAATATTCACTCTTTTAATTACTTTATATCTGTTCCTCCTTGAAGTTAAAGAACGATAATTTATGCATCAGTGACTACACGTATTTAACAAGTTAAAACGGTAGTGTTTTCGCATCGTTACTTCATTTTTGTAACTTTTCATTCTCGAGTCTACTGAAGTTAAGTCTTCTTTTTATATTCAAACCGTCGCTGAACATTATTCTACGGTAATTACGAATATAATATTTTTTCAAATATGATTTTAGCAAAGTTTCACACAAGATTCAAGGATTAAGATGTCTAGAGGAACACAATCAATGATTGTTTGCAGACTCTGACAGATTACGTCGGATACATGAGATAAGAACCACACAGTGTTACATGATGTGAATTGTGCCCGTTCTTATCGTCCGTGTGTATGATCTTATATTGTTCTTTTTGAAATATTAAGATCAAATGAAGTTTTGCTACATAAGTTACGCGATTCAAAATTATTGCAGTGATGATATCATTTATAAATTCACAAAAATGCACGTGCATGTGTAGGTTCGGTGTATCAGAAATTAACACATTCACACCAGATATCTATGGCGACATATAGACTAGCCCAATTAATAATGCTTCCAATTGACATCCAATCAAGTTCAAATAAAATCTTTGTTTAGATTCTATTGAATTGGACTAGTGTACTACTAAAAAGTTCTTAAATATATGATAATTTCATGAAAAAGTAGGGAAAAATAAAGTTATCGTCGAGTCCGAGCAAACGCAAGAACTATTTGAACTACTACGCGGAATCTAGTACCACTAGCGAGTAGAAGAGGAAAAAACTGAACAAAGATTTCATTCGAATTCGGTTGGACTTCGGTACTGAGCAGTGCGTATGGGCTACAACTTGGGTACGTAGAAGTCGGCGTGAGGACCTCTGAAGGACTTAAGAATAGGTCTGTAGAAGAACTGGAAATTAGGCCAGCTTTTTGGCTTATAAAAAAACTGAAAAATATTTTACGATAGAAACTATTTAAAAAATCGATTCCAGTGACTCAAAAAATAAGTAGATATAATTTTGGATGGAGAAATGAGCACGTATTTTGAGATATTTCGAATTTATTTGATGAGTCTAGCTATCTTCATGTAATAAAAATTGATCATTTGGATTTGTTAAAATGTTACTCTTCATCGATAGATTTGAAGTGCATAAAAACCTGAAGAAGAAAATTTCATATGAAGTCATTGATATTTTGATCACTGAAGTGTTTTTCGATTATGATCATGTAGTGGGTGGGTGTGGGTGTTTGTGTGGATGTGAATTTGGTTGGACGCTGGAAGGGATGTGGATTCTCCTGTTCTATATGATATCATACTCACACCCACACTCTTCTACGAATAAACTGCACTTTCTTTGTAGTACATCGGTTTTTTTGACAGATGAAAAAGCAAAATTTTTTTCTTGAAGTCAATAAGATTACTTAACAAAGGGTCTGTATAGACATGTTCTTATAAATATAAAGTTTGAACATGCCTCTATCATTGAGGAAAAAGTAAACTCGTTTGCTGAAGGCCTAATAGAGATATTCAATTTTTTGTCGGGTGCGTGACTTTTGGGCCATCCTGTGTTTATTTATTTATTTTTAGAGTTGAATACTTAGATCTGTTTTTAGTCTAGATATACCATTATACAAAGAACGATATTTTTTAATTGAAAAAAGAATTCTAGTTAACTTTTTCTTTGCTTTTCTTAGTGGTTTTTATTCATAATTCTAAGGTGAATTAGCTTGGAGTTTTCTTGAATGAAAATTCGATTAAAATTCACTGATCTTTGTACATTTCCTGCGTAGAATTCAAAATGATTTTTGCATTGATCTCTAATGCATTTGTTAAACATTTTCATTTGAATTTATTCTGTTGAAAGAAATTTTCTTTTGTTTTTCAGAAAATAATAGTCTTTTGAATAATATTTAATTTTAGATGTTTGAAGAAAGGACCTCATTGAATTTCTCAAACTCTTCAATATATAGACAAACAAAATATAGCATTTTATAAAACTCTTTATGATCCATCAACTAATCGAAAAGAAATTTAATTTTCATCCATATTTAATATATTCGAAGATATCGTAGACTGATTTAAATTCTTGAGAATTTAAATATAAGAAGTTGATAGATACAAAATGGTCTCAAGAATGTTTGAAAATAAATTTATACGGATTTAATTTTTAACTAAGTTCGATATAGTTATGGATATTGTTTTATTTTCTGCAATCGATAGTTTTCATTGTTGAATCATTCATATTGAAAAAGGAGTCGATTTTTTTCAGTTTAAAATTTATTGTGATTATATGATTATTCGATATTTTCAGTTCTGTTGAATGTTGATTCCGAGTATCTAAGTTGAATCGGATTTATGCATAAATCTCTCGAAAAATCAATAGAAGTTTTATATGAATGTGAAAACTAAAATCTTTCGATATTTCTGTACATCTTACACGTCTAGATGTCAGGAGACTAAAAATCTTTCTCTTTATCAATGAAGAAGTTATGCATATCGATTTCTAAGGAATGTTGTATTAATTCAGAAGACATCACCAGTGTTCCAGTTTCATCACATAGGAAAAAATGCTCTTCCAGGATACTCTTTAGAAAATTGACAATGAACCTCTGTTGTACTAAAAGATTTTATCTGTACAGTATATAGAATTCAACAATACGTCTTTTCTAAGGAAGTTGCATATTAGGTTTTGTTCGTTCTATAGCGCAACGTTCAAAACATCGAACTATTTCATTCAATCAAAACAATGTTTACATTCAAGAAAATCAATCTTTTTTTCAGCATGAATGATTCAATGATGAAACCTATTCATTGGAGAAAATAAAAAAATTTCGATCACTTTATCGAACTCATTTTTTAAACAAATTCGCATAAATTTATTTTCAAATATTCTTGAGATCACCATGCCTATCAACACTTTATATTAAATTCCTCAAGAATTTGAATTAGTCTATGGACTTCCTCTTCCAATACATGGAACTTAGACGTAAATTAGATTTCTTGATTTCTTGTAAATATATTAAATTTAATAATTTTATTTTGATATCTTATTTAAATTTTAGTTAGTTTATTATTGTTAACAGTTGAACACAGAATATTATAAAATTGATGTTATATTCGGTTGAAGGTCATTACTTGTTACTAATCATTATTATTGTGAAATGTCATGTACTGTACATAAATGGTGCTTGGCCAATATCGAATTCTTCAAGTATTCAATTATTAGGTCTGTTTCAAGACGAAATTGGTACAGTTAATGGTACAAAATCATCAATACATAGTCGTGCTATGTTCAAAGCTGCAATAATTCTTTCACAAAAATATAATATACAAATGAATGGAGAATATATTGATGGACAAATAGCACAAACTGGTGGTACTTCAATAGGTTCTCTTAGTAATACATGTTTAATACTATCAAAATTTAATATTGTTGGCATAGTTGGACCAGCATTGTCAAGAGAATCTCATATCATAGCTCAATACGGTGAATCCATTGGCATTCCTATAATATCATATAGTGCAACTGATCCTGATTTATCTAATCGATATGTATATCGAAATTTTTATCGTACAGTTCCTTCAGATGACTCTGCTGCATTATCAATTGTACATTTATTTCATCGATTTAATTGGACATCTTGTATAATTATTTATCAAAATGATCAATTTGGCTCTGGTGGTGTTAAAGCTATCAACAATGAATTTGATAAAAATAATTTAACTATTACTAATCAAATTATATTTGATATTACAACACTTAATATTCAAGGTGATTTGCAAGATATTTTAACAAGTAGTTCAACACGAATTGTAATACTTTGGACTGAGAGTATTTATATACCAAGAATTTTACACTATGCACTTGATGAAAATGTTCTTGGACCACATTTTACATGGATATTATCATCAACTATTTCATTTGAATCTTTCAATCGAACATCATATTCAAATTTGATTGGATTACTTTCTATAGAATCTGTAGCAGGGAATACTATTAATGCACCAATTAATACAACATTATTAAATGAAGCATATGAAATTTGGCAACAATATGAACCAGAAACATTTCCTGGATCAATTAACGTAGATTACTACGCACTTTTTGCATTCGATGCAACTTGGACATTAATTCAATCATTACAAAAAAATTGTTTTCAATATATAAATCATTCTTCATTCTGTAGACCAGTGATTAATATTTCATTTTGTTATGATCGTCGTTTTCCTAAGAATAATTCATTATTAAATATAATTGATACTATGGAATTTATAGGTGTTTCAGGTTTTATTAAATTTAGTAAGGATACAACAGACAGAATTGATGGAATTTATTATTTAGTTAAAAACGTTCAATCATTCGTCAATGCTCCGAATTTTGTGCCCATATTAAAATGGTCTCATACTGATAATTGGAAAGAATATTCACAAGATAATGTTATTGTATGGCCTGGTAATTCATTAGAAGTTCCTAATAGTTATGTTGGACTTTCAGGTGTTACAGTAAGAATTTGTTTTATTGAATCAAAGCCATTTACAATGCAATCATATTCGGAAGAAAATACAACAAAATTTATTGGTTACATACCTGATTTTGTTGATAATTTAAAAAATAAAATTAATTTTATTCCTCAAATAAAATTATTACCAACGAATCAAACTTACTATAAATCTGTTCAAGATGTAGCAAATGGTATTTGTGATATGTTAATTGGTGATGTTACTATTACTGCTAAAAGAAGAGAAATTGTTGATTTTTCAACTTCTGTATTCGATAATTCTTTACGTATTGTTATTCGTAAAACAAATTCCGATAATGTTGATCTTTTTGCCTATTTAAAACCATTTTCACCTGGTCTATGGTTGACTATTTTAGCTGGAACTGTATATGCTGGTTTTTTATTATGTTTCATGGAAAGACATGAAAATGAAGCATTAAAAAATAGATCATTAATATCTTCATTAATTATGAGCTTATGGTATTCTGTTGGTACTATTATGGGATATGGTGTAGATTTTGGTGTTCAAACAGCTGCTGGACGAATGCTAACTGTTGGTTTATACACATTAAGTTTAATATTAGTAGCAAGTTATACAGCTAATTTAGCATCATATTTAACAACATTAAAACAAAAGGAATTTATTTCTGGACTTGATGATATTAAAAGAAAAAAGATACCTTCTAATCGTATTGGACTTGTTCCTGGATCATCAATTGAAGAATTTTATTTACGTGAAATTTCTCAAGGAACTCCAAATTATTATCCAATAAAGTCGTCAGGGGATATAGCAAATGATTTACTTAATAATCACATTGATGCAGCAATTTGGAATACACCATTCCTAGAATACATGGCTAATCAGCTCTATTGTAATTTAACTCTTATTGGACCAGATTTTAGTAAGAATACATATGGTATTGCCGTTCCTAAATATTGGATTTATAAAAAAGAGTTAGATGTTGCTATATTATCATTGAGAGAATCAGGAATTCTTGATGATTTGAAAGAAAAATGGTTCTCAGGAGCTGCTTGTCCACAACCAAGTTCATATGATGCGTCAACTACTAACTTAAATATTGTAGCAATGAGTGGCTTATTTGTTACGTTTGCAGTGATTAGCGTCTTGTCATTAATTTTATTTGCATGGACCAAACGATTTCGTATAAAAGATTTGCTTTGGTCATTATTACACAACAAAGAACATTCAATAAACAAACAAATCGATGAAGAAAAATTTCCAAATGAAATAATTGTATTGAAAAGGCAAAGTACTCCCAGAAATTCCAGTTACACAACATTTTTCTGAACAAATAACTATTTTTATCAGAAAGATTTTTAATATACGTTTCATTCCTAGAGTTCTTCTCATTTCTTACTGATAAATAATCAAGGAAAATAAAGTTTTGAATCTAAAGATCGAAAGTTTCTGTTCATTTTTAAACAGAAATTATTAACTATTTAAAAAATCTAATTTTTTCAAAAAACAATCACCAACTATTGTATTTTTCAATAAAATAGCAGAAAGTTCTAGAGGATACATTAAAACTGCGTCTTACGACTCGTAAGACGCAATTTTAATGTATCCTCTGGGTGTTGGGTGGGTATGGAGGGGGTGGGTGGGTGTGCGTGTAGATGTGTGGTGTGGGTGTATGGGTGCAGATCTCATATCTACACTCATACTCACAGCCCACACCCTAGTGTCGACATTTATTTGAAGAGAACTAATTTTAGTGAACCACAGCGAGGCAAGGATCAAGCCGACCACGATATTGCCGTGGCAAAATTCTGTCTGAAAGCCTATACAAATCGTGGTGGTAACTTGATAAATGCACAATCCACCAAAGTAGCACTTGATGAATCTTTTGGTAGTTTATCTGGTTGTAAAACATCAGTTATTGCTGTGGATGAGTTCAAATGTGTTTTACTAAAAATGAAAATAGAAGGTATAACAAGATACCATTCAGTTGCATTTAATGACAAGTCGATTACTTTATGGCAATATTTTTATGTCGGTAGTGGGAAGTCGAAGAATTGGATAGATTGTAAATGTACCTTACACACAACAGTAATACTACCGTTCTCAGATAGTCAAAAACCAAACAAAGAATTTCTAATGAAAAGTACTTTATCTTCAGCAATTTTTTTCTGTTCGGTTGATTCATGTTCAGCAACATTTGACAATGAGGAACAACTTATGGATCATGAACAAAAAGCCGAACACTTTTATACTGATGATTATTCCTTATCAACAATCGATCGTGCTCGGTATATATATTATATATCGAACATTTAAAAGAAGTACGTCTTGTGGAAGAAGCATTCAACACAACAGCAATCGAATCTTTTCAAAATTCAAATATTGAAAATATTCAATTTAGTAACAACGATGATGAACTGAACCGACCATTCTCAACACAAGGTTATGCTATCCGTCGAAGACAAAAGTCAACAAAAACTCCACAAGAACATCAACAATTCTTTATAAAACTGTTTCACCAAGGTGAAAATACTGGTAAAAAAGTCACGGTTGAAGATTCATTTCAAAAGATGCGTCGTGCACTAAAGTCGGATAATACGAAACTCTTTACAACTAATCAATACTTGACTAAAAATCAAATTCGTAGCATTTTTAGCCGTTTATCAAAAAAAGGATCAATTGATAGACGAAGTCAATTTATACACAACAATGAAAATGATCAAAAGCAAGGCTCCTATGAAGAATCAACAAACAGCGATGAAGACGATTCTGAAAATTATTTTAAAAAACAGCAAGATGAAGAACTAGAAGATCTTGAAGTTGATGAAATCGATAATGCGTTAAAATGCTGTAGCGATAATGAATATGACAGGAAGAAAATGGATCAAAGTTACAATTTTTTGTCCTGTGCTATCATCTATTTTTTTCTGAATGCATGAACTATATTTAAAATATATGAAATCTCAAGAGTATAGCTTGATATCAACAGTTAGGTAGTGTCAGAAGTACTTAAAACATGTTCATTTGTAAACATACTTGATTATAGATGCATGAACTATTCTCATACTATCCATATAAAGGTGAAAAATCAAGATTTATTCATTTCTAAATATATGATAACAAACTGATAAGCTAATATTTATTAGATTTTCTTGGTAATGCGTATCAATAAATAATCAAGAATAATACAAGCCACTAAAAGAATTACATTTTATTCAAATCTAAAGAGTTTACTATTCGATATTATCGGATTTAACCACGAAAAAAACCCTATAAATTAAGTATATAACGTGACTCGGAGAAAAAAGTGACTTTTATCAAAAGTGCTTTACTTTTCTCAAGGGACAAAATTGTCAGATATTCTAGGTGCTAGACCTTGACGAGCTCTCTATCACCGGTAGAAATATCATAGCGATTGGTTGTTGTGGCATAATATGTGATTGAGAGACATTCTGGTAAAAAAACATAGAAAAAGGGTAAGAAAGGCTTTCTTAATGATATTTCAGAAGTTCTTATAGGATTGACGAAAACTTTTGAAATTTTGTATGCAGAAGGACAATACCTCGGCATTAATAGTTAGAAAAACGAAAAGTCAAAAGTCTCAAAATTTGAAATGAAAAAGTCACTTTTACTGAAAAAAACCAGCTGAAAATTAATTAAAAGATAATAAAAAATTTATACTAAAGATGTCGCTAGTATTTCGCCTGTTTGTACAGGAAAAAGTTATCAGATCGACCTGAAATTTGCAGGAAATACTAAACTCACTATCCTCCATAACATATTTAAAAAACCAGGGAATTCTGAGATATCAATCCATCGTCGATGTCCTAAAGTGACTGATTTTCTCAGAAACTTACTCTTAAGACTTTAAGACTACAGATTCCGCTGTTTCTTCTTCGATTACCATGTATTCGTCGGAGAACACTTGGCTAGAGGAAAAAAAAACAATATTTTCTTGTGTTCATTGTGCTCAGAAGAAATGATTGTTCTCTGCCACAATGTGACAGAAAAATAAACAGAGAAGTAACTTTTCTACCCGTCATATGAGAAGTAAAATAACATAAAATTCTAGAGTAAAAGATGAGGCTAGCGATTAGAGCAGTTTCTGTTGAGAAGTGCCTTCTTATGCTCAACAGTTGTCTGACTATATCGCATGTGAACGCTACCAAATTGATATCATTAGATGCATTTTTGACGCTGCATTGAATCAATACATTTTCAAGCTTCTTAAATAATGAGATAAAAAGAGAATAGCTAAGTTGTTTGAAAGATTGAATGTTTCTTTCTATTAAAAAATGCGAGGTTTTTTAATATTTTATAAGTCATTTTTCTTAATTTCATCTAAAAAATTCTTTAAAAAGTATTTAATATATCCAGTTCGGTAGAGCCCAACGAGCCATATCGAACAATGTAAACATATCAAAGAAAAAAGGTTAACTCTATTTTTGTATTAGAAGACAGCGCTGACTTTGAAGAAGAGTTGCTGTTCATGAATTACAAAGGACTGCTTGCAAATAAAAACAACTAACGTTCAACCTGCTCTGAATTGAAAAGTAGGTACTTATTTTGATTATCTTTGACAGTCAACGAAACAATGTCCAAAGTTGAAAATTTCACAGTGACATTTCGTCAATAATCTCAAGATCATAGTTGAACAAAGACTGACACTGAGTTATCAGCACTGAACGAATAGAATTGTTCATTACTGGCATTGACACGCATCTGTTTATGGAATATCGCGCGCGTATGTCCTAGGATCAATCAGACAAGTTTCAAAATCTATATCGAATTATTCTCGGACAACTCATCGAATATATGTGACCATCACAAGCGTTCAATGCATGCCACTACATCTTCTAGTGGAATATATAAATCCCTATCTGAAGTTTAGTAATGTTTTCTAGATAGAAACATGACTAGTATGCAACTGACGGTATATGATTCTATTAAAATTACAGTAATATAATTGTGATTAGAGAAAAGTAATTGCTTTTTGAAAAGCATAGAAATATTTAAAAATAATGCTTTTCTCACCGGAAATAAAAATAGAAACAATTCCTTGAGAGCACTTGAAACACAGTACGGAAGCGAGTAAGAGAATATTATTCAAGCAAAAGTCCCTGATAAAAATAATGAGAGAATGTAACCAGCTGGAGGCTTAGCTCTGCCAGTACCCTCGAAAATGATATGTATCAAACTATTTCATTACTTCAATCGTATCTATAGCAGTAGAAACATACGCTTATTTACTAGCCACACAACCGAAGCAGACAAACATATCGAGTTTTGACGTTTTTCGAACTAAAATAGTAAATTTCAGTCGATTTTTATGCGTTTTTGAACAAACCGAAAAAAACACATACAAAGTCGTGTTGTAGCAGATTTTTTCTACTTTTCCATTAGTTTCTATTCTTTTGTGCGTTTTTTCTGTCCAATTTCATCACATCTTTTGCAGAAATGAGGTTAAAAAGTTATTTCCATGAATAAACGCTCATCGTACCTAAAAAAAGTTGACGTTTTGAGCGTTTATGGACTAAAAAGTTTTTATTCAAAATTTTTCATCGCTGATTAGATTGCGTTTTCCTTTAAAAAATTCACTGTGGTGAGCTATTTACTTTAACAAGCAACATGGAATCCTTTCTTTTGTTTTTCCTAATTCATTCCAATACGAAAAATATTCATCTCTATTTAACCGACGCTGTTTATTGCATACATTGTTTGTGATCTACATTATAATAAAGAGTAAGTAGAAAAAAGGCTCTGAATTTCAGTAGATGGAATCCATACTGGTTGTGATTTGAGAAGAAAAGATATATTTAGACTTTCATTAAATTTAAAAATTACTTCTTATGAAAATGATTATGCTTTGACCTGTTGAGTAACCCTTTATGAGTTATAAGCCAATCGATAAACATTTGATTTTTGAGATCGAAATGATTAGTATGGATGAGATCGACAAACATTATCAACGTATCTGCGTAACATTATAATTATTAATAAGGGCGACAGAAGTTTCCATCATAGAAGCAGGACGCTGAGTTCCCACATTCTTCCATTTGATGTCACTACTAACAACCATAGAAGACGTCACGTTTTGAGTGAAGGGAGAAACACTTCTTTTTCTTATAGATAATTGATTTGTAATGATAAAAAATAGACAAATCTTTGCTTGACGCATTTCCTTTTCTCGCCCAAGATCACTTCATCTTTTTTATGTGAGTTGATTTTTTTCCATTGAATATTCTAATTTAAGAGCAATAAGATATTTTTTCAATTTATGCATTTTTTCTTTGTTATTTGTCTATCGATAGGTAAGGATAGAGGGCTAAGGGCTTTTTATAGTTTTTATAAGTCATATGAATTTTTTTGTGCAGCTAGTTAGTTCGTAACACTAGAAGGTAGATGTCGCTTGTTAAAAGTTTTCGTTCTTTGTTCATATGAGATAGAAATGTATTGCTTAACACAATTCTTTATTTCTGATAGCCAGTTAATAGAAAAATAGAGAAAAAAGCATAGTTATTAAAATACATGTAATGATTTATTTCTTGTATCAAATACATATTTCATCCATAAATATTATTATCCGTGCAATAACAAATCTGTAGCCATAGACGAGAAGACCCTCTTAATATTTTACATATGCATGCATAGTTTTTCCAGTAAGTACCAGAGACCGAAACGAACCGAACTTTTCTGGTTCGAGTTCGGTTCGGTTCGATTGAATTTTTAAAAATCGGTTCGGGCTCGGTTCGGTTCGATTCAGTTTTTTAAAATTCAGTTCGAGTTCG